CTAAATTCTCTTAGTTTATTGAAAAGAAAGGTTTGTGCTAATATTGTTTGGACAACTAAATGCCCATATCTTGTACTCTGAGTAATTTAAATGTAACAGTAGGCAATGTATTAACCATTGTTACCCTCCTGTTACCTTGTTTTGAAATTTTGTGGGGTTTTTTTCTCTTTTTTTTTTTTTTGGTACTGGGAATTGAACTCAGGACCTTGTGCTTGCTAGGCAGGTGCTTGTGCCACTGAGCTATATCCCTGGCCCTATTTAACAATTTTAAAAAATGTAAAAGAATATATATAGAAAGAAAGCTGTAACTGTTAGGAAGTAAAAAGAGTATACCTAAGGTAAAGAATTGCCCTGGATATGGAAATTAAAACAGCACTGAGGTTACATCTCATCCCAGAAAGAATGGGTGATGCCTGTTAATAACAGTCAAGTTGCATTGCTAAACCAGGAATAGTAGCACACGCCTATAATCCCAGCACTCCAGCACTCAGGAGGCTGAAGGAGGAGGATCTTTGCGAGTTTGAGACCAGCCTGGGCTACAAAGTGAACTCAAGGCCAGCCTGAACTCCATAGCAAGACCCTGTCTCAAAAAAAGTCATATTGTTCTAGTCTGAGAGACAGTGTATACCATAGGGATTTTTTACCTGCTTGTTTCTAATAGGCTCCATCCTGTAAATTCAATTTTTCTATTTATTTTATTTGTACTGGGGATTGAACCCAAAACTTTTGCACTAAGCTATGTCTCCAGTCCTTTTTTTACTCCTTTTATTAAGAGAGAGGGTCTCACTAAGTCATTAAGTTGCCCAGGCTGGGCACAAGCTTGTGATCCTCCTGCCTCAGCCTCTCAGAGTGCTGGGATTACAGGCATGTGCCGCCATGCCAGGCTATCCTAGGTACCCTGAGTTCAGTTTCCAGCTCTGCCTCCTAATTGTGACCTCAGGCAAATTACTTGAACTTTTTCTTTATTAAGTAGGGGTAAAAATAATGCCTACCTTTTGGGATCATTTTGAAGATTGAGTGAGTTGGCATATGTAGATTATCTAGGATAGTTCTTTCTAGGATATCATGGTTAGGAGCACAATCGTGGGAGATAGATTAGCTGCAGGATAAGTGTATCTACCTTATAGTTCCTACCACAGTGTAAGAGTTAAAAGAGTACTGATTATTATTATTAAAAATTATTGAGAGCTGGGCATGGTGTCATGTGCCTGCAGTCCCAGCACT